AGGTATGAAACTACTATATTTTTTCTTTTTTGCCCTGAAAGTGGCAGCTCCAGACTTAGCGGACCCTAAAAACGCCACTCACAACACGAAGCCCCGCCTCTCGTTCCCCACCAAGCCAATGACACTGACTCCCCGGGAGGAGAGCGAGGTGAGAGAAACAAGAAAGAAGTACAGTGTAAATGCTTGTTTTGGTCACAATGTGCTCATAAAATAGATTTTTGGCATTATTGAAGGTTATTTCAGGATGCCTCTTGTGTGCGTGTAGATTGACTGATCAGTTGAAGTGTTGTAGGTGGTTGCCACAGTGATGAAAAGGAAGACGGTGACAGCCATTTTTCTTTTGGTGGTTCTGTACCTGGTGATGGGAGCAGCAGTCTTCAGAGCTCTGGAGCAGCCTCACGAGAGGTAGGCAGGTTAAATACCTGTCTCGTCTGCCTCACTGCCAGAAAAACCATCCACCCATCAATCCATCCATGCTCATCATACTTGCCACTCTGTTTAGTAGCTGTAAACTGTCTACTCCTATCAAACCCTCAGTGCCACTGGAAACTGTAGGTATTAGGCCCCTTTGAAAGGTGCAGTGTGGATGCTTTGCCACAAAATCATTATTGACCGATTTTAAATCTTTTTATCATGAAAATATTGAACATGTTGTATGTTTTCCTTATTTGTTTTTTTTTTAATGAAATTTTAATGTAATTTTCCAATTCTAAAACTGTGAGTACTAAATTAGTGTTATTAGTCACATTAGTCTTATTTTACACTGGATTAAATGAGAGAACTGCTATTATATCACTGTTCCTGACAGTTTAAACCATATCATTGTTAAATTAGGAGAATTTGTTGTCCAATCAGTCAGTGAGACTAACTTTCTGCTCTCTGTTGATGCTCTTCAACATAATGATATAAGCACAAACATTTCTCAGCCTCACTTACTTCTTCCTCTCTCTCTCTCTCTCCTCAGTGCCCAGCGTTTGGCCATCCTGTCCCAGAAGCTGGAGTTCCTGTCTAGACACTCCTGTGTGAACCAGAGCCAGCTGGAGGAGCTGGTGATGGTGAGACTGACCTCACATTAAAACTGATGTCACTTGTGTACAGATGGGTGACAAATGAAAGGTAGAACCTGAATAACTGAGTGGTCTCTTCCAGTATAACTGTGCCCCCATCCATAGGGCACGAGGGGTCAGTCACTGAATGGTTTGATAAATAAAGAAGAGATGTGAATCATATGCTGTGGCCTTCACAGTCACCAGATCTCAGCCCAGTTGAACACCTATGGAAGATATTGGAGCAACAGTGCCTCCACCATCAAAAGACTAGATGAGGGAATATCTTTTGGAAAAACGGTGTTCATCCCTCCAATAGAGTTCTGAGACTTGTAAAGTCAATGCAACGGTGCACTGAAGCTGTTCTGGTGGCACAAAACTTTACTGAGACACTTTATTGTTAGGGTCTCCTCTAGTTTGTCACCCATCTATACTGTATGTACTACACATTGCTGTAATTCAGCACAGCTGCTGTGGCCACAGCACCATGGACAGCTCCTATAGCTGCACAGGACTAGACTGAAGAAATGTTGGATCACAGAGTTCATTTGTGTTTCTGTTTGTCCAGTCCCTGTTCGGAACAATGAAGCCCTTCTCGGTTCAGATTTCTTTAATGCATTCTCTTTGACACCTGCAGGTTTTTCTCTAACCTGCAGTCATCTCAAGTCTTGTTTATTTCTATATATAATGTATTAGACAGGCAAGCACACAAACACTCAGTCCTGCCTGCACATGGAAACACATGGCTCAAAAGCACCTGCACAAGTGTTTCATGACAACTTAAGCACAACCCAGTGTCATGTTTTAGCCAGAGCTTTAAAGTTTTAGGAAAAAAAACACCTGTCTTTTTCTCCCAGCAAGTCGTGTCTGCGATCCGCTCAGGAGTAAACCCTGCAGGAATGTTACAGCAGCCTGTGGGACCTGAGCTCGGCCTTCTTCTTTGCTGGGACTGTCATCACAACCATTGGTATGCACACACACACACACACACACACACCTGTTGTGTTTCCGTCACTTTGGGGGATATTACATTGACTTCACCCTAACCTTAAACCAGGTCATCACTCTAAAACTGATTAACCTACACTTTGGAGACTTGCTTTTAGTTCACATAAGAACACTGAATCCCCGCAGTGTGAATGTGTGAACAGATTTATGTTCCCACAACATGAGTAATACCAGCCCCCCATCAAGGAATGAACTTAAATCTTAAAGCTATGTATGTATTTGTACGCACACTGGGAAGTGTTTCTGATGACTTTACCTTCTCAACTTCTGATGAAATTTGATCTACTCGTTGCTGGTTGCAATAACTCCTTCTTGCTTTCTGTGTAAAAGAGAAAAAACACAAGCATTAATATTTTGAGGAAAAACTGCACATTGCTGCAAAAAGACAGAACAGAGCAATGAAACACTGAAACACTCCTATAAAACACATCTCAGCCCGTTGTTCTATGATTTGGATCACTGTTGATCCTTGTCTCAGTTTCTCTGTGTCCTCTCTGCAGGTTTTGGGAACATCTCTCCCCACACGGAAGGTGGAAGAATTTTCTGCATCGTCTACGCCTTGCTAGGGATCCCCCTGTTCGGCTTTCTGTTAGCCGGTGTAGGTGATCAGCTTGGCACCATATTCGGCAAGGGCATTGCCAGAGTGGAGAAAATGTTTGTGGTGAGTCTGGAAAAACATCCACAGGAGAGGTCACACACATTTCTGGCCTGCTATCAGCAACTTTATATAGGCTTCCCTAAATAAATGACATTAAAGGACACAAAGCAGTATCCTGGATGGGCCCACTGGCCACAGGCCCCCCGGGGGTAAAGGGGCCCCCTGTACAGCCTCTACTTGAAGTGGCTGTTAAAATGTCTGGTTTTGAGTAAAATGTCTCAACAAATATTAGATCAATTTTCATGAAATTTGATATAATGTTGAACCTAGAGTGAACTCTGTCACTTAAGGAATGACAAACTTGAATGTTTGTAATGATCACAAACAGACCAAAACGATCTAGAGGTTGTACAGATGCTTGTCGCAGAATTAAATTCACTGTCATATCCCTGATTTCTGCTGCCCCGCCCTCTCTCGCTGTCTCCCCTGCAGCACTGGGACATCAGTCAGACAAAGATCCGGGTTACCACCACACTGCTGTTCATCTTGTTTGGCTGCCTGCTGTTTGTGGTGCTCCCAGCAGCCATCTTTAAACACATCGAGGGTTGGTCTGTGCTGGAGTCCCTTTACTTTGTAGTCATCACCCTGACTACCATTGGATTTGGGGACTTTGTCGCAGGTGCAGCTTATACCCTAAAAAGGGGCTTTATTTCATCGCATTGTATAAATCTGCTTCATCAGACTCAGTCTATCTTTCTCTTTGGCTAGGTGGGTCAGAAATAGAGTATCTAGATTACTATAAACCAGTTGTATGGTTCTGGATTCTGGTGGGTCTGGCCTACTTTGCTGCTATCCTCAGTATGATAGGAGACTGGCTAAGAGTCATCTCCAAGAGGACCAAAGAAGAGGTATGAGACTGTTGGCTTTCATTTGCTCCTTCATTCTGAGACTGTCTCATTTCTTTTTCAGATTGTTTTTGTTTCTTTTATTTTTGCTTTCTACACACAGTACCTCTACATCTGTCGCCATCCTGTATGTCCTTTCATCTGTCTCTACAGCAACACACAGGTTGTACCAGCTGCGTGGTTATAGTGCCATATCCTCACCTCAACTTTTGCCCTCAGCTTAACTTCATTTTAATGATAAGACTGTTTTCTAATCTAATCGACTGTTTGCATAGCAAACACATAAACACAGTCTTTGGTCATTACTGTGAGCATCTCCAGGAACAGACAGAGAGTGTGGGGAGGGATCATGTGTGATGATTTTCTTATCAGAAAACTGTCTGTACACTAAATACAGCAAAGGTTCTGCAAACTAATTCAGTTATTTCCAACAAGTAACATCTGGAAAACCTGGAGTTTCCCTCCAGAATGAAAGTTAACACCTTTGTTATACTTAGATTTCACTGGTTTTGGATTATGTACACACACACACACACACACACACACATACATACAGTGAGGAACAGAAGTATTTGAACACCCTGCAATTTTGCAAGTTCTCCCACTTAGAAATCATGGAGGGGTCTGAAATTCACATTGTAGGTCAGGAAATCACATTGTATGGTTTTTAAAGAATTTATTTGTCTTGCACTGCTGAACATAAGTATTTGAACACCTGAGAAAATCAGTGTTAATATTTGGTACAGAAACCTTTGTTTGCAATTACAGAGGTCAAACGTTTCCTGTAGTTCTTGACCAGGTTTGCACACACTGCAACAGGGATTTTGGCCCACTCCTCCACACAGATCTCCTCTAGATCTGTCAGGTTTCGGGGCTGTCGCTGAGCAACGCGGAGTTTAAGCTCCCTCCAAAGATGTTCTATTGGATTGAG